CCGATAGTTAAGGATGGCAGATCAATCGATGAAGTGGTGAAACTTCATCAGTTGAGGTGGTTGGGACATGTGTTACGTATGCCTAACCACCGACTGCCTCGACGAGCTATGTTTTGTGGTGTAAGAGTAGGTTGGAAGAAAGTTAGGGGCGGCCAGACCAAAACATGGCAGAAATCCATGAAGTCACTGACAAGTGGACTGAGTCATGTTGGTAGATGTAGACTACCTGGTTGGGGTCCGCGAGACGAAAGTCATCAATGGTTAGAGACCTTGAACGACATGGCTCAAAATCGTTTGCAATGGCGCAGGTGCATCGACTCTTTGAGCTCTCTCAAATCATAATCTTCTGGATTAGCCAGCACCTTTGTCTTTCTAACCTTATCTCACTGAATTATATTTTTTGAATAATATCTTAAACCCTAGTCTTCTTTATTATAACATTAATACCTCTACCATCTTTATCACTATGGGATTTGATTTGACATTTGCGTCTCTGTGCTAATAATGTGGTATGGCAACATGAACTTATGTACATACGTACGAAGTTCTACGTTGCAACTGACTGACTGACTGACTGACAGAGCGTACTGCTACGCAGTACACACGTCCTTGATTAGCAAACGGATATCTCGCCTTTGACATAAGTGACGCAGGTTGACAAAAGCCAGGCGAGCCTTCTGTATGCATGTAAGATTCTGTCACACACCAGGCCCTCAGCACTGATGAGACTCCCGAGATAAGTGAAGCAGTCTACACGTTCAACTACTTCACTCCCTATCACTAGTTCTGGTGCCGATGCAACCCAGTCTTGAAGCAACATTTTGCATTTCGAGCAAGAGAATCGTATCATAAATATGCTTGTATTGTCGTTTAAGGTCGCCAGATGACTCTCTACATTTTGTCAGCGTTTTTTTTACCAAACGTGATTAATTTTTACTCTATAAAATCTATACACTATTATTTCCAAAATTGATTTATAATCACTAAACAATATTCAATTGACCAATTTCTCTCTGCAAACATGTCTTTTTCTGCATTGCATGTATTTGTTAAATTACAAAATTATCACTTTTTTATGCTAATTACTAGTTTAGGCGAACAATTATTCATGTTTTACAATAATAATCATAATAATAATAATAATCTCATAATCGTTCATACTTTATACGATTACTACACATTGTATATGGTTTGAAGTTTGAGCATTTAGCTCACATTGCATTATATTATAATATAGTAGTTATGTATATGTTTGTTTGTTTGTTAAGAATTTGTGGCAAAAATAAAAACCGAATAATATGTATCTATCATCATTATGTAGTGCAAACTCACTGTCTCGCATCGTTTGCATTAGCGGTGCAGTGAGCTTAAGAAATGCTACTAGAGTTAGATAAGAGAGATATTAGGGGGTGTAAGAAGAATTTGATTTTGACCAATTTGGTCTCGTGTGTTGGTGCGGGTATGAGGGCGGTTGTCACTTCCAGGCTGCCCACACGGTGGAAGGTTGTTTCTTGAGGGACCTGGAAAGGAAGATAAATTAGTGTTGGTTTTAGAGACCTGGGTGCGTGACCGGCCTTTTAATGAAAGGTTTTTTGAGTGTTAGCTCCGCTCTTAAAAGGCCTTAGTGGGCACCCTTACCGACGGAGACGGAAATCCTTGAGGTGTGACATATTTAGGGTCGACCTATTCTAACCCTTCCTTCCTTCCTTGTGAGAAGGCAGCATCGCTGCAGATACTGGTTGTCCGAGGGAAACACCTTACTGCTGTCATACCCCTCTGCAGTAGTCAGCAGTACGACTTCGCCCTCAGACCTTGAGTAGCTGCTTTTAGTCTGATCGTTCTCCAATCGACCTGCCTGGCATGGTAGAACCTTCAGGAACATATGTTTCAGCCAATATAGCTCGGTTGGGTCATCACGATAGGCAAGCCTGATCACCACGTGAAGGTAGAAGCTTCGGTCGGGAACATTATTTAGAAATATCCAACAAAAACCATAACACATGATTCTACAATTTCTAGGTGTTTTAGCGAATATAATATATTATATAAATGTAAAACATTTCCTAGCGTTTCCAATCTTCTAAAGACTTTGAGAAATGATATTTTGGGTCTGTAAGGAAATCTATGAAAAATAGCCTACTCTATAGCGTACGCTTTAAACCATACAAAAAAACAAACCCAGTATCTTTAGACTATCATGTTGAAATTCAACGTTCTCCAGGTCAAAACTTCAATCAGTTTGTTGGTAAGGATTTCTATCTTCTCGTTGTTTTTTGTTACAAACTCAAATTAAACGATCTCGGTGTGATTTCTAGTACTAAGATACAGATGCATACGAACATCAAATACGCCGGAATGTGCATACTGAATTCAGTGTTAACTCTGTGCTAAGTTACAGTCACCAATGATTAAAGACCTTGAACGACATGGCCCAAAATCGTTTGCAATGGCGCAAGTGCATCCATTCATTGAGCTCTCTCAAATCCTAATCTTCTGCAATCGTCGGCACCTCTAACTTTGTCTTTCTAACCTTATCTCACTGAATTATACTTCTTGTATAATATCTTCAAACCCTAGTCTTCTTCATTACCATTAAAACTTGTACTATCTCTATCACTATGGGATTTGATTTGACATTTGCGTCTCTGTGTTAATGTGGTATGACAACCTGAACTGATGTACATAGGTACGAAGTTCTACTTTGCAACTGACTGACTGACTGTTTGATAAGTTACAATTTTGTTTCACTGTTTTATAATAATAATATTCTATCTTATGCAATAAAATGTTTACAGAAACACATACAGTCTTATTTTTTCAGCATATGCTTCAGTGTTAAATTTTTTTTAAAACACAATATATCAGAGCAATTTCAGTAGGATTGATTTTTCGCGGAAAGCTTTAAACTGTCATAGTTATTATTATTGAACCTATACAGCTGACTCTCTGATAATGTATTTACATATATATTAGAATTCCAGTGAATATTTTGGAATGGAACAACAGCAATTGAACTGAATTTGTTTCCTTTGTGTATTATCTTATATGCATTTTCGTAGTTTATTATGCAAACAATCGAAAATAAAATCATCTTATCCTCTGTTACTGATGTTTGTTGTCCTTTCCCGCATGAATGTCACCAGTGTTTCCTGTGTCAGTTATTATGTAATAATAGGTTCCATGGCTTTTCAGCTGAATCATTTGATCCTTATCCTTATAACGAGTTTAAAAACGAAAACAGACATTCTACCCACTGGATTATCAGTTAATGAATAGGATTCATTTCACACAACCCTCATTCTATTATCACACTGACAAATGAATTAACTGTTGAAGTTATGATAAATTAAACGATTCCATGCATATCATTATAGTGTGTCATATTCTTTTGCCTTTACAGATATCGCATCGCACTAGAATTTATTCTATTACTTACTTATTACTTACGCATTTTACCCCTAATGGAGCATAGGCCACCGACCAGTATTCTCCAACCAACTCTGTCCTGGGCTTCCCTCCTCAGTTCTGTCCAATTTTTGTTCATTCCTCTCATATCTTTCTCTATTTCTCGGCGTAATATGTTCGTTGGCCTTCCTCTTTTCCTTTTACCTTGAGGGCTTCATGTGAGGGCTTGCCTTGTGGAGCACTTAGGTGCTTTTCACAGTGTGTGTCCTATCCACTTCTACCGCTTTTTTTTGATCTCCTCCTCTACTGGAATCTGGTTTGTTCTCTCCCACAGTAGGTTGTTGCTGATAGTGTCTGGTCAACGAATCTGAAGTATTTCACGTAGACAACTGTTCATAAATACCTGTATATTCTGGATGTGATGGCTTTCGTAGTTCTCCAAGTTTCTGCTCCATTCTATGGTGACTTGTATCATAAATTAAATAATTCTGCACAACACTTTTAAATAACTAATGAAAACCTACCATATTTCATTAATTTTTTTGTTTTTGTTTAGATCATTACTAATGAATAAATCATCAACAATTGTCTCTTCTACGTCTATTAATAATTTGTCTTACACTGTCACTAATACACCAATGATGACGACATCAGCAACATCTATGAATTCTATGTCACCTTCACCTGTTTCATTATCATCATTCAATAATTCATCGTCGGTAGCCAAGATGAATAAATCAAATACGGAATCGTTCAATATCAACTCGGCTAACAACACTACAATCACAACAGTACCACCAATAACAACAACAACAACAAAATCTATCCAAGAAGATCAATTACCGAAACCATGTCTAAATGAAAATCTTGTTTCATCGTCAACCATGCCAACAAGTATTAGTAATAGTAGTAGTAGTAGTAAGCTTAAAACATTCCCATATTCATCTTCTTCACAGACAACTGAAATGACATCAGAACAGAAAATTGCCAACTCATCATTGACTAATCATTCTAATCATGATGAGACGTCGTTGTATTTTGTACAATCAACATTAGACAGAACCAATGTTGAAAAGCCAATTTCTAATGGAGAAAAGTAATCTCTTTTTTTTTTGTTGTACACATTTACATCTTTTATTTATTTTTTTTAATCTTTCTTATTTGTTTATTTTGTTTACTATTTGTAAACAATAAGTAAATTGTGTAAATATCCACTAGCCAGCGCTATATCATCCAACATTATGATAATTGTTCATAACTCTAATGAGATAGTCTACATATGTGAATATAGCCAATGGGGGTGTCTTTATGTCTTTATATTTGTCTGTCTCTAGTTTCCTTCTTTTTCCACTAATGATTTTCACTATGCTTATGATTTCCTACACAAAATAAAATGTCTAAATAGTCAGTCAATCAGTTACAATGTAGAACTTCGTACGTACGTACATCAGTTCAGATTGTCTTATTCCGTTAGCACAGAGACGTAATTGTCAGTTCAAATCCAGGAGTGATAGTAGAAGTATTAGCAGTAATGAAGAAGACTACGGTTTGAAGATATTATTCAAGAAGTATAATTCAGTAAGATAAGGTTAGAAAGACAAAGGTAGAGGTGTTGACGAATCCAGAAGATTAGGATTTGAGAGAGCACAACGAAAGGATGCACTTGCGCCATTGCAAACAATTTTGAGCCATGTCATCATCATTCAAGGTCTCTAACCATCGGTAACTTTCGTTTCGCAGATAGCCTACATCTACCAACATAACTCAGTCTATTTGTCAGTGATTTCATGGATTTTTGCCATGTTTTGGTCTGGCCGCCCCTAACTTTCTTCCAACCTACTCCTACACCACAAAACAAAGCTCGTCGAGGCAGTCGGTGGTTGGGCATTCGTAATACCATGGATGTCCCAACCATCTCAACTGATGTCTAAATAAACTTCTATGATGATAACTCGACGGGTTTAATTTTTTTTGTAATTTTATTGAGATTAATTCTTTACGGAGATATATTCTTTATCAATGTATTTCATAATTCATCTCTGTTCTGTTGTTAACTACTACTGTAGTTGAGGGGCAACCGAATTGTATTTATCGAAAATTACAGAGTTACTCAGTAAAATAGGAAAACCATATCGTAAACGGTTAATTTGCAAATCTTCAATCCATTGTCTGACATTTCACTTATTCATGCGTTTCATACAAATTCCATTGTGTTCCCACTCTTCCTTTCTTCTTGATCTTCCCCCATCTTCTGCTGCCAGACATTACGTTTTGATTCGCGTCATATACTACTACTTACCACACTACTAGTAATCATTTTTCCAAGTAATACATTTTAGAATTATTCAATGTACACTTATTTGGGTTTTTCTTTTCTCAAGAAAATCCAATATTATTTAGCAATCAGTTGAAATGATTGTGATAACACATCTCTCATGAATAATATTTTTCCTTTTTAATTTTTTATGACAATTAGCATAATCACACATGTGAATGCGTTTTTACCAGAACAACAACAACAACAAAACAACCCAAATATTGGATTGATTTTTATCTAATTATATTGAAAATGTACTGGCCAAATTACACTTCCAACCAATTAACCAATCTATCTAACTATCCCTAAAACGCACACACACACACACACCTCATAGAAAGAATTCTTATACTACTACTGGTGTGTATGATTCACTCAATTATGCGTGGTATTATTACAGTGTGTAGACCATGCTTTCTACGTAGTATTATCGTAGTGTTTTTTTTACAATAAATTTGGATAGTTGTAGGTGGAATGAATGATAAGAATGCAATAGTTCATGATATTCTCGGCTCGTCAATATTCAACGTTATAAATATGTCACTATTTTTTTGTTGTTGTAAATATTGCTTCGTCCCAGACCGACTGCCTCGACGAGTTTTGTTTTGTAGTGTAGGAATAGGTTGGAAGAAAGTTAGGGCCGGCCAAACCAAAACATGTCAGAAATCCATGAAGTCATTGACAAGTGGACTCAGCCATGTCGGTAGTTGTCGACTACCTGGTTGGGGTCCGCGAGATGATAATAATCAATGGTTAGAGATCCCAAATGACATGGCTCAATACCGTTTGCAATGGCGCAAGTGCATCCACTCTCTGTGTTCTCTCAAATCCTAATCTTTTGGATTCTTCAACCACTCTAGTTTTGACTTTCTAAACTTTTCTCACTGAATCATATTTCCTGAATATCTTCTCATCCTAACCTCTCTTATTACTTCTAAAACCTTTACTACCTCTTCTACTATTGGATTTGAATTGACAATGCCTTCTCAGTGTTGATGTGGTATGGCAACATGAACTGATGTGCTTACATACGAAGTTCTCCGTTGTATCTGACTGACTGACTGACCAGATTAGATTGCGTCATTATTTCTGTTATTGATTGTGACTGATCTTTTGGAATTAATTAACAAAACTATTTAAAGAATAATAATAGGAAGTAATAAACTCCTGTTTCATTTTTAGCTTAGAACAGTTTTAATTACATCTATGATCATTTAGGTATTCTATCAAACATGATTAATACTACAAGCCTGTTTTTTTCTTTATTTGCTCTCGTTTTTGGCTACATAGAGTAATGAGTGAATTGATCTTTCAACTAACTACAAAATGGTCACGGGTTTGAATCTCGCTTTGTCCAGTTTATATAATATCATTAGAACTTACAATGGCTTTTAAAGCACAGTAAATAATTCACTTAATTGAACTCTCATATACACTACTAACTCATTAACATTTGGCTACATTGGAATACTCCCCTAGGTGTGGATCCTCTGTACTGATGATGACAATTAACAGTTTCTTAAAGTGAACCGAGTCAAGTTGTCAGCATAAGGTTCTTGAGATTGTTGAATTCCACTGAAATCCGAAACAGATCACTGTTAGGCCACTATTGAAAACCTGGAATCACTGGATAGGACACTTAACCAACGCGCATCCGCCACCACACAGGTAAGAATCGAATCCAGTAACTCCTAACTCCTTTACTACTGAGCCGGCATCCAACGATTTTAACGTTTAACTTCAATCAGTCCACGATTTTGGACTATCATCATTCACCAATCACATTTGAACTCTACTATTTACAGCTTTTCATTAGAACTCCGAAAATCGATCGCTTCATGAAGTTAGTCACTAGGGGAGCATATAGTAATTATGAACCGATCAATGTTAGACCATTGTTAACGAGTCCCATACTAGTACCAAACAGTTATCCCTCACATCCAGGTTTTCAATGGTTGACTAATATTGATCAGTTCATGATTTCCATGAAACAGACAAATAGATTTGAACAAAGCGGTTTGTCCCATCTATTATGAGATTACATTGCTTACAGCTGATAAATGATATTATCGAATAAAGATAATGAAAACCTATATATATATGTAAAACCATCTACCTCAGTTTTTTTATTTATTTGATGTATATAACATTATTTAGATGGTATATCATCCTCTTAGTGTAAAGTAATTGAACGACAATGTTGGGGTTGTTAGATCCCCAGAACTCGCTTGATAAATATCTTTATTTTGGATTTATTTGATTGGACCGATCAGTTGACCTTGAGATCACATTTCCTACCAGGAAAATCCTTGGCTGTGATTGGTTACTGTGTCATTTTAGTTTGCTGTTTGTGTGACTGTGCCAAGGATGTCTCTATAGGGTATAAATAAACGCGATTTGTGTGCCTGGATGTATTGTATGTTGGCTAGGTGTTTGTAGAATACCATTTCTACACTATATCAAGACTTCTTACCGATTTAATTTGGTCAAGGGATTACAGTAGCCTACCTAGACGCTGGTTCATTGTTTTTTTCTCGTTATCCGACTAAGGTGAACTCGTAAATAGTTTTAAGCATACCTAGAGATGAGCGTAACAGACAATCTACTTTTTTTGATTGATTTTAAGTATTCAATACATATATATATCTTGTTAAAGAATTATTGTTTAATGAGTTACTAAAGTTATATAATATATATTACCTTTGTTCAAATGAACAGAACTGGTCTACTGTTCACAGTTATCTTGTAACTTTTTTCTTTTTCAATTAATCATTTATTCATGTGATGACAAAATCAGTCATACAATGTTGTTTGAATATGTTGTTCACAGAGAGAGAGGTGCTTGAATTCCTCATTTTTAAGTGACCATTAATGATTATATAGTGATGTGGTTGGGCTATTCAGCATATATATATATATATATATATATATATATATATATACATGTAGTAATTGTAAAAACAAATTATCTTATCACTCTGTGGTGGCCAATTTCTACGTGTTCTTAGGCTTCGTAAAATTAGCTCGTCCAGACAATCGTTACTAAATAGAGTCTGACGGTTTATAAATCAGAAGGTAAACTCGAAATGTTGAATACGTTTATTTTGACACACCACAAATATAAGTAGCAGACTACAAGCAGACCGGGCAGGCACACTAGCGAGTAAATGGGCGAATGTGCGAGTGAATTAATAAGATTAAACTGTTCGTATATATACATAGGATTATATCTGAGTCATCGCGGAAGTATTTAAGAGATTAACATTAAAGCGAATAGGATGAATATGCACGTAGGCGGTAAGCAATGCTCAGTCGAACAAGCTCATACAAACCATACAATAAAAAATACCGACAGTTATAAAAATGGCTTGGTTAATCGAAAGGCTTAATCAAATTAAATGTAAGCGAACTCGAATATACGTGGAGGCACTACAACTCTATTCATTTTGTTCAATAAATGTTAACTAGCACACATTTACACGTTGAACTTGTTTTTTTTTTACCTGAATTCATTATTATATTTTAATAAACTTAAAATGTATCTTATAACAGTAGTTATATGAATTCATCATCTTCATATTATGAGTACTCATTGTGAATCAGTCATTGAATGAAGTGATAGGATATTATTACGTACACACACACACACACACAGACACACACGAAGTTCAATCGTTTTCTTTTATTTTTAGAAACAATTAAACAAATATACTACTTGAAAGCGCTCATATTTTATTACTATGATTGTTATTATAACTATTATTATTATTATTATTATTATTATTATTGTTATTGGTGTATTCATTTTGAATTGAAGAGATGATAATTTTCTTCTATGAATCGATTAACAAGTATTTATTATATGCACAATTTAATTTTTTGATATTACTAAAACATTGGTTCAAGTTATTATAATCGAGTTAATTATTATTATTATTATTTTTAAAAATAATAATGTTAATAATAATAATAATAATGATAATAATAGTTACAATTACCTCTAGTGAATATATTCACTAAAAATTAATCAATACTGATTAGTTCATGAAATTAGGTGATGACTTTTTAAAACTTAATTCTCACACAGTTAGTTATTCATAATTCAATCATTTATGAATAAAAATTAACTGATATTTATCAACATTGATAACTCAGTAATCTTTCATTGAATCTGTTTTAGTGGCTTTCACCACTATTCAATTTCTGTGGATGTAAACTCTGTTCAAGACTTTTTTTTAAATAATGCAACCTGTTTTCTAACAATAAAATATTTCCATAAGTTACTTCTTTTTGTTTATTATGTCTACAAATCGCCTAAGCTATTATTTAGACCAGTATATAAGAAGTTTATAACACATTGCTTCACAAGATGCAATAAAATACAATTTGAGACATCGCAGTGGCTGGTAATCTACTTAGAATTCAATGATTATTGATGTAATGACGATTGTTGAACTGATTTATTTCTTCCAACTACTGATCATTAATTTCTTTTGTAAAGGAAACTTGTTGAAATATTCCATGTTGAATTAGATAGTTTACTTACGCCTGTTATCCCCGATGGAGCATAGGCCACCGACCAGCATTCGCCAACCTATGTCCTTCCTTTCTGGTTCCATCCAATTGTTGTCCATTCTTCTCATGTCTGTCTCCATTTCTCGATGTAATGTGTTTTCTGGTCTTCCTTTTGTCCTTTGACCTTGAAGATTGCAAGTAAGGGCTTGTCTCGACACAATTTGGTGCTTTCCTTAACGTGTGTCCTACCCACTTCCAGCTCTTCCTCTGCTGAAATCTGGTTTGTTCTGTCCTACAGTAGGCTGTTGCTGATGGTGTCTGGCCAGCGAATCCGAGGTATATCGTGTAGACAGCCGTTAATGAACACTTGTATCTTCTGTATAATGGTTATGGTAGTTTTCCAAGTTCCCACTCCATACAGTAGGACCTCTCTTGACATTTGTATTGAAAATTGTGACCACATCTTCACACTACGACAGATCCTGCAATACAGACACACATTTAGGCGTCCGACATTAGTTATCTTCCTGAACCTTAAGGCGGTATTCGACTCAGTAGATCGTGAGGTTCTACGGCAGTGTCTGTCATTGAAAGGTGTACCGAAGAAGTACATTAACCTTATACAAGCTCTCTACTCGAACACTACAGGTCGAGTGGCAGCTTATGGCAAACTGTCACTGGTGGTGTCAGTGATGTACACTCTCTCCATTCTTGTTTAATTTTGTCATAGAAATGCTCCTAGATATAACCTTATCCTTGTCTGAATTTTCAGGAGTCAACCTTCTACCAGGAAAACCGCTTACTGACCAAGAATATGCAGATAGCATAGTTCTATTTGGTGAAGACGCTGACAAAATGCAGAGTCTTCTGACTATCCTAAGCAACAATGCAAGCGTGTTCGGGATGCGGTTCTCACACTCGAAATGCGAAATGTTGCTTCAGGATCGGGTCACTTATGGCGTAGGCAAGATATCCGTTTGCTGACAAAAGGACGAGTGTACTGTGCAGTAGTTCGCTCCGTCCTAATTATGGCTCTGAAACATGGCCAGTGAGAGTAGAAGATATCCTTAGGTTATTGGTTTTCGATCATAGGTGTCTTCGAAGTATTGATCGTATATCCTCGGACAACCGAGTGAGCAGTGCTATTATTAGGAATCGAGTACTAGGTAAGGATGGCAGATCAATTCATGATGTAATGAAACCTAATCAGTTGAGGAGGTTTGGATATGTGTTGCGTATGCCTAACCACGGCCTCCTCGTCGAGCTATGTTTTGTGGTGTAGGAATAGGTTGGAAGAAAGTTAGGGGCGGCCAGACCGAAACATGGCAGAAATGCATGAAGTCACTGACTAGTGGACTGACTCATGTTGGTAGATGTAGGCTACCTGATTGCGGTCCGCGAGACGATAGCCGCCAATTGTTAGAGACGTTGAAGGAAATGGCTCAAAATCGTTTGCAATTGCGCAAGTGTGTAGTGCCTCCACATATATTTCACTTCTCTCACATCTAACTTGGTTAAGCCCTTTCGATTAATTTATTTAACCAAGCCATTCGCTTAGCAACAACTTGTATGTACAATTGGTATTTTTTATTATGTGGTTTGTATGAGCTAGTATGACTGAGCATTGCTTAACGCCTACGCACATATGCATCCTATTCGCTTTAATATTAATCTCTTCAATACCACGATGACTCAGACATTTTCCTTTGTATATATACGAACATTTTAATCTTATTAATTCATTCGCACATTCGCACATTCGCATATTCGCTAGCTAGTCTGTCTGCCCGGTCTGTCTGTGGTCTGCTGTTATTAATTGTGGTGTGCTTCAATAAACGTATACGCTACTTGGAATTCATCTTCTGATTTATTAACCGTCAGACGTCAATTGGATAAGGTAGTCTGAACGAGCTTATCACGAAACGTAAGAACACGCATTAAATCGGCACACCTCAAGTGCATCCATTCGTTGTGCTCTCTCAAATCGTAATCTTCTAGATTCGTCAGCACCTCTACCTTTGTCTTTCTAACCTTATCTCACTGAATTATACTTCTTGAATAATATCTTCAAACCCTAGTCTTGTTCATTACCATTAATACCTCTACTATCTTTATCACTATGGGATTTGATTTGACATTTGCATCTCTGTGTTAATGTGGTATGGCAACCTGAACTTATGTACATACGTACGGAGTTCTACGTTGCAACTGACTGACTGAGTTCTACTTTGTAACTGACTGATTCATCAATGTTAGAAACAATTATCATCATTAATTCTTTATCTTATTATTTTATTTTCAGTGTACATCTTCAAACTACTTCAGAATATGTTAGTTCTGTTAGTGGATCATCTGTAAAACCTGTTATAGCACATTCTGTCAGTGTAATTCCAATTAAAAATCATGTTGCTTCATCAACCAATATTAATGATAATGACAATAATAGAAGAATATCGAATTCTCACAGTATTGATCACAATATCAAGTCGACTACAATTGGTCATAGCATTACAAATGTACAATATTCTTCACAACCATCTGATGAAACTGTTACCCTTGATATGAATAATAATAATAATAATATTTCAAATCATACAAAACCAACTGTAAACGGTTTCAAACCTGTTGTAGATGATTCTGCAAAGATTACCACTACTACATCTTCATCTTCACCTTCGTCAAGTATGCCAACTTCCGATTCATTTCAATCACGTATTAAACCTCCATCATTTACTGTAAAAACATCCGATTTAAACAAAACAAGCACTCCTAAAATAACTTCTGTGAAAGCTGACGATCCTAACCATGTAATACAGAATAATAGTCATAATAATAATACAATGCCCAATACATTTAATACACCAGAAAGTATTAAAATGTCGAATAAGATAAATTCTGCTGAAGTGAGTTAATTTTTTATTTTACTACTACTGAAAATTCTTTTATTCAATTAAGGCGCTCGATTGTCGAATAAATTAAATCATAATAGTCTGCTTGTAGAAGAGACGTTTTAACATGAATAACAGCATAACAGTGTATATTTCCCTGCAAATCGAGTTTGATCAATTAAAATCTTTAAAATCATAAACAAGAAAGAACGAACTCTTTATAAATAAAAATCATATCTGTTTCACAAACTAGTAGATATCCTGAACTCAATAGATAAGATGTGTGATAGCTATTGCTTTTTCTATGAGTGTATCTATTATTGGTCAATTATTACAATAGAGAAAAGGTGTAAACAATAGTTGATATATAGGGGGATAACTGTAATTCCATACATTTGTGATTTGGTTTGAGTCCAGTGGTAGTTCGCTCCGTCCTACTATACGGATGCGAAACATGGCCGTTAAGAGTAGAGGACTTTCGTAGGTTACTAGTATTCGATCATCGGTGTCTCCGAAGCATTGCTCATGTATTCTGGGACGACCGTATAAGCAATGCTGTCGTTAGGAAACGAGTTCTAGGTAGGGATGGTAGTCAATAGATGAAGTAGTGAAACTTCATCAGCTGAGGTGGTTAGGACATGTTTTACGTATGCCTAACCACCGACTGCCTCGTCGAGCTATGTTTTGTGGTGTAGGAGTAGGTTGGAAGAAAGCTAGCGACGGCCTGACCAAAATATGGCGCAAATCCATAAAGTCACTGACTAGTGGACTGAGTCATGTTAATATGTGTAGACTCCCTGGTTGGGGTCTGCGAGACGAAAGTCACCGATGGTTAGGGACCCTGAATGACATGGTTCAAAACCGTTTGCAGTGGCGCATGTGCATCCACTCCTTGTGTTCTCTCTAATTCTAACCTTCTGAATTCCTCATAATTTCTACCTTTTTCCTTCTTAAGTTATCTTACTGAATTATACTTCTCGAATCATATCTTCGTTCCCTAATCTTCTCCATTACTGCTAATAATTCTACTATCGCTATCACTCTTGGATTTGAACTGACAGTTGAGCCTCTGTGCTGACGTGGTATAGCAACCTGAACCTGAACTGATGTACTTATGTTCGAAAGTTCTGCGTTGTCTCTGTCGGATTTGAGTCCGATTATATCAAACTGATGAATTAATTTCAGTGATATAATTAAAACTAAAAAGAAAATTCAAATGACCCATTGGTTTTAGTGTTCAATGATGTTGTTTACTTTAAATTGTAGAATCATCTTTATTGTGATTTATTATGGAAAGTAATCTAAGTCAAGTGTTTGGATAATAACTGGACCTTGAGAGAAGCTTCTATCACTATGATTAAAATAGGATTATAAACATAATGTAAGGAATTAGGAAAAAGGGTCAGTGTTGAAAGTTAGGATTAGGAATTAGAATTCAAGTTTTCATTACTAACTATCAACTGTTATCGATGCCAAAATATTATATTTGAATAAGCCATGTAGATTATTTAATGTAGCGCCAAAAAAAAATGTAAAGGTTGCCAGCTTAAATCTGATTGACTCGTCTATAAATTTTAGTCTAGCCTTCATAGGGTGAAGGAAAATAGTAAAAAAAAAATGAATACAATTCACGAATCCAATGTTTAGAAGTTAGTTGTCCCTTTTGACAAACAAGATTAGAAGAGGAGGAGAAAAGAATGAAAAAACGTAGGTTGGTACTAATAACCAATGAATAATAAGTTTTTAGAATGTTGGAACAGGTTATTAACAACAATCAACTTGAGAAATATATGGATTATTAGATCGATGATAGACTAAAATAGTAGTCCATTTGATGCTTAAACCACAGATATTCCAAACTGAAACTATTGAATTACTTACTTATTTCTCCTGCAGTGTGCATAGGTTTTTGTTTTGTGCTCGTTCCCTTTTCAATCCAATTATGTAATCGTGTAGATTTTTCTGAATGGGATAGCGTGACCCGAATTGGATGATATGTTCCAGTAGTCTCAGCTCGGATACGTATGGCTAACCACCGACTGCCTCGACGAGCTAAGTTTTGTGGTGTAGGAGTAGGTTGGAAGAAAGCTAACGACGGCCAGACCAAAATATGGCACAAATCCATAAAGTCACTGACTAGTGGACTGAGTCATGTTGGTAGATGTAGACTACCTAGTTGGGGTCCGCTAGACGAAAGTCACCAATGGTTAGAGACCTTAAACGACATGGCTCAAAACCGTTAGCAATGGCGCAAGTGCATTCATTCTTTCAGCTCTCTCAAATCCTAATCTTCTGTATTCGTCGGCACCTCTACCTTTGTCTTTCTAACCTTATTTCACTCAATTATACTTCTTAAATAATATCTTCAAACCCTATTCTTCTTCATTACCATTAATGCCTCTACTACCTCTATTACTATGGGGTTTGATTTGACATCTGCGTCTCTGTGTTAATGTGGTATGGCAACCTGAACGTAGTTCTACGTTGCAACTGACTGACTCCAGTATTCACTGTTTGACATCCTGCTCTCCAAAATCATTCCAATGTATGCTCGAATATGCGTTTAGAAAGCCCCTCCCCCATTTTGTGTCATTCGGTGTAACTTGACTCTCGAATAACAAAATGCATATTCATATTACTCAAAAAGATGGGTCTTTTTTTAATTATTCAAGCATCGAACCAATATGGTAGTCAAAATTATGAATTCTTGCCGGTAAATAGTCAGATATCAATTTAATCGCGCTATTTCTTTCTCTTTTTTTCTTTCTGTAGAGCGATAATAATTCATTGAGTACACCACCGGTTTTATGCTCCGCATCAGTTAGTGTAACTGGAATCCGTCCACCAAGTGGTATTAAAGCTCCATCTATCACTCCACCAGATAAGATCAAATCCAAAATTGCTACTAATGGGCATACTAATGCTAGTGCCATCAACACATCGATTACCTCTGCACATGATGAGGAAATGGTGCATACAAACAAAAAACACATTCCTACAATCACTGAACAACAACCACCATCATGTGAATTAATAAAAAGACAAGAATCAACTACAGATGATAGTTTAGAACAATATCCTAGTGGTTTGCCGAAACCTTCTTCAGTGTATGGAAAAGTTCAATCTACTAAATCTCGACCGCTATTAGGAAATTCACCGGTTGCTAATTCTGGTATACCTGCACCGTCTATAATGCCATCATCATCTTCTATGAGTGGACAATCTCATATGCCTGTACCTACGTCTATTCCTTTGCCTAGTGGAATAAAGCCACCATCTCGTTCACCAAAGTCGGCGTTAGCTAAGGTAACATTTTTCTTTCATATCTGTACGCTTCTTTTTTGTCAGTTGTTTTTCTCGTTAAGCTGTAATCTTTCTGACCATTATGCTTTCAGTTATACCATAACATTAGTAACTGGTCAACAATGACTATCTATTCTATTTATCCTTGTCGCTCGCTTTGTTCTGATGGTAAACATTCGCTGTCCCTCAAATGCTCTAGTACGTACCAAGAACGGTGAGAATCCTCTCTCCCTTTGATAGGGAAGTTCTATCCACTGCCTTCTCGTGGTAAGAAGTGTTGTTTATGAAATTGAGAGGAGAAAAAGTGAATTTCTGAAGCTTGAACCCGGTTGGTGAGTACGAAGGAGGGGATCCCCCTAGAGGATTTGAAAACCCTTAAGTGACCGCGAGATCTGACTCCCTTTTATACGAGAACGATTAATTCTATTAACGAAATAATTCTGTCTAATTTCATTATTTTTACATTTCGACTAAACTCGTTTGCGTGACGGCAGTAATTAGCAATCTAATACGGTTTTAGGTGGATAAATTTATTCCATTCACCTGTGTACACAGAAATAAATAAGAATGAAAACGTAAAAGCGGAGAATTTGAGTAGGTCAACTCCATTAGATTGAGTTATGACTCTGTATTTATAGTCAAACAAAAATAATTTAGATATCTGATGAGAGAAGTAAGCAATGCACAATTTCAATTTTCGCCTGTTACCCCAAATGGCTGCCGACCAGTTTTCTCCAACCAACTGTGTCCTGGGCTTCCCTTTCCAGTTCTGTCCAATTTTTTTTCATTCTTCTCATATCTTCCACGATTTCTCGGTGTAATGTGTTTCTTGGTCTTCCTCTTTTCCTTTGATCATAAGGGTCCCATGTGAGGGCTTGTCTCGTGATGCAGTTAGGTGCTTTTCGTAGTGTGTGTCCTATCCACTTCCACTGCTTCTTCCTGATTTCCTCCTCCACTGGAATCTGGTTTTTTCCCTCCCATAGTACGTTGTTACTGATTGTGTCTGGCCAACGAATCCAAAGTATTTTGCGTAAACAGCTGTTACTAAACACTTGTATCTTCTGAATGATTGCTTTGGTAGTTCTGCAAGTTTCCGCTCCATACAGTATAACTGTTTTGACATTTGTATTGAAAATCCTAAGCAATGCACACACAAGTAAATAAAAACCAAAGCTATAAGAGGAACATTTCACAAGGTCAAAAAACATCTAAACAATGACTCGAGAATAGATTAATCAGTTTGTCCAATAACTAGGACAAAATCGTGTAGTTTCAGCATTACTGCAATTATAACCCTGAGTTCAAACTAAGAGTATATATAGGCTCTATTACCCCGAAGAAAAAATAGTATATGAACCTGTTGTTAGTCACCGGCTACCATGGGATTGCATCTCCTGACGTCGTTCCACAGCATTGTGGACTTAATCATCAGATCAATGGCTCGATCATTTCGAATTCGTTCCGTTTCACATTCTGAAAGCTACCAAAGTTTTCTATTAATAGCATTAGTTATCACATGATCAATAAATGAGATTTGTCAGCTCTTCACATTGTAAATAATTTAGAAATCAATAGGAAATGTATATTTTAATGAACAAACTAAACAAAGTGTCTGTCATGTTAATATCGAGCGACAAACAAAGAAGACCGAAGCTGCTACCTTGACGTGGTAGTCGGGCTTGCCTATCGTCATGACTCAACCGAGCTATATTGGCAAGAACATATGTTTCTGTAGGTCCTACCATGCCAAGCAGGTCGATTGGAGAACGATCAAACTAAAAGCAGCTACTCAAGGTCTGAGGGCGAAGTCGTACTGCTAACTACTACAGAGGGGTGTGACAGCAGTAAGGTGTTTCCCTCGGACGACCAGCATCTGCAGTGATGCTGCCTTCTCACAAGGAAGGGAGGGTTAGAAATGGTCGACCCTAAAAATGTCGCACCTCACTCTACCTCACGGATTTCCGTCTCCGTCGGTAAGGGTGCCCATTAAGGGCTTTCAAGAGCGGAGCTAATACTCAAAAAACCTTCCATAAAAAGGCCGTGCGTGACCGGCCTCAAGCAGTTGTCCCTTGGGCTCATGTTACTATTGAGCGATAAACATAGAATCTGAGTTGTTTTATCGTTACGTATTTTCTTTAACAGTCATCTAGGTGATATGATCATGTCCATGCAGTTGGCAAGTATTTAAAGTTACATTTTGTCTCTGGAAAACATCGCGTTAGTTCATTCTTACTTAAGATCGCTCTGTACCAACCTCTTGCCATTATCTTTAACATTTATGTGATTGATCCTTCACTGTTCGGTACAAACAAATAGTGTTTTAGGTTCCATTCTTGAAATCTAGTCTTCAATCTATTTAAAACAACTTAAATCGATGTTGTTTTCAGTGATTTCTCTACATCTTGACCTTTTGCTTGATTTGTTGTAACACCTATAATCATAGACCAAACAGTCATAAATCATTAGTTTTCCATTATTTACTGTAAAGCTAATAGATCAATCCAGATGCATCCTATGACAATAAAATTCTGAATAACTGAGTTATTTAATGTAAAAGAGGTTTGTGAAATTTGTTAAATCTGATTGGCCAAGTCACATGGATCAGTGACCTTAGATCATAGATCATAGTTGAAAATCTGGAAGTATTAGATATTTGTTTCCTCCTCATGTGGAACTTCTAACTAATATGCAACCACAACTCGTGTATTCTCATTAACAATACAGTGAGATAAGAGAATGTGAGTAGAGTTAGTCGCGGAGATAAGAGGGATATTAGAGGGTGTAGGAACGATTTGAATTTGACCAGTTTGGTCTAGTGTGCTGTTACGGGTATGAGGGTGGTTATCACTTCCCGAAGGGTGTTTCTTGAGGAATCTGAAAAAAGGTAGATTAGTGTTGGTCTTAGAGACCTGAGAGCGTGACCCCGCAGTGCAAGGGACAACTGCTTGAGCCCGGACACGCACGGCCTTATCATGAAAGGTTTTTTGAGTATTGTCTCCCCTCTTAAAGGCCCTTAGTGGGCACCCTTACCGACGGAGACGGAAATCCGTGAGGTAGAGTGAGGTGTAACATTTTTAGGGTCGACCATTTCTAACCTTTCCTTCCTTGTGAGAAGGCAGCATCGCTGCAGATGCTAGTTGTCCGAAGGAAACACGTTACTGCTGTCACACACCTCAGCAGTCAGTTATACGACTTCTCCCTCAGACCTTGAGTAGCTGCTTTTAGTCTGATCGTTCTCCAATCGCCCTACCTGGCATGGTAGAACCTTCAGGAACATATGTTCCAGCCAATATAGCCCGGTTGGGTCATGGCAGTAGGCAAGCCCGACCACCACGTCAAGGTAGCAGCTACGGTCGTGACTAAACTGCATTCACCATAGTTTCTCACTTACACTTTATGAATTAATTCTCAAAACTAGTCACTAGTAAGTACGTTATTATCAGCATGAGGTGCTTGTAGAGATTGTCAAGTCTCATAGTTTACATTAATTAAAAGTCCTTTTAGTTAGACCTTCATCAATGTCACGTATGTATATATTGCTGAACAGTCGTACACAAGCACAGAACAACTGTCTAGTACTTCCTTACTTTCAATAATTGTCTAACTAATCTCGATTCATTTTATTAATGTATGATATTTGAAAATGTATTTTATTATTGTTGTGTAAATTATTTGACTAATTCTCAATAATTATATTTTTTCCTCTTTTTTCTCATATCTTACCCATATTTCAGTGATAACAATATTCACTTGTGTCCCAATGATTAGTACAACATACCAACAATGTTCAATAATCAAAATGTTGAAAGAGTTTCATTCTTCTTCTTCTTTTATGACTAATTTTCAATATCATTTCATTGAATAAACTCTTCAGTTTTAGGCAAAATTTCACAGTATTATTCTTGTTCTTATTACTAATATTTATTTGCCTACTTATTATCACGTGACGTAATCCTTCCCTGTTTTTTCTTATTTTCATACCACTAATAATAATAATATTATTAATATTTATTATGTGATTTTTCTAGTGCTATACAAATTTGCACACTCTCTTTGTTTTGTTGTTGTTTCATCTTTATTCACTGTGTGTTGTTACTTTTATACTCTTCTCCTTTTTTCCCGTGTATTATTTCATGTTTGTTCGTTCATTCGTTCGTTCGTTTTACCGCAATAAACTCATCATCTTATGGAATATATACGGTGTTTAACTTAATGAAAAGAAAAAAAATTATTCAATTTCAAGACCTAATTGAAACATTGATCAATATTATATTCAATGTTCAATAAAGAAATTGGTTTGATAATGAGAAAACAATTTCCCTATTAAAAAACATACAAAATCATTTGTAATTTTTTTTTCTCTTATTATCATGTCTTACTTATGTGAAATTGTTTTTTTTACAAATTATCATCACACTATATATACATTGATATATATATACAACATAACATTGTATTCTATCAAGAAGTATTCCTCAGAATGCAAAATATTGATTTCACATGTTTTGTTTTTTCTGTTCTTCTTCTTCTTCTTCAGTTCACTTTGTCTTTTGATTTTTTGTTTTTTTATAGTCGACAGTATTATTTTCATCATTCAACTTTATTAACTTACATACATACATTTATATATCTATATATACATAAAACAGATTTTTAAATGTTCACTTGTTTGTTGGCTTGCATGATTATATGTGCTGTTTTACTTTTCAAGATCTGTGTGTGTGTGTGTATGTAGAGAGACATTTGTACTTGTGAAATGTCATCAGTTTTTTTTTTTGTAAAAGAGTTTACTTCTGGATTCCAAAAAAAGTTCATTGATCAAGTTTCATTCGACCATTGACGAGTATTATTGAACAAATTTGTTTTATTTTTAAAATTAAACAATTTCTACCATTTTTTTTTCAATTTCAAAATTCTAATATGTCTTTTTTTTCTGGTTGTGTGTGTGCGCGTGTGTGTGTGTGGATAAACCTCATAGACCCGTCTAATAAACATGATTTCTTTTTGTTTAATTTGTCTATCCCATACTTACTTACTTACTTACTTACTTAATAAATCAACTTGAAAATATTTTTCTATGCATTGGCTTAATGAGATGAATTGTATTGTACTGTATTGCAAAATGTGTCTTGTTCTCTACTGCTTCAATTTAACAATTTCATTATTCTATGTCATGTAAGAAGCCAGCCAGCCACCAAAAAAAAAAACTGATCACATCATGCTAACATACAATGTTTTTTTTTTTGAATAATCTATTCTTTTCCTAGCGTTTATATATCAGATTTAATAATAAACAAAAAATATATATGAGTTTTTCTACTGATTCTTCTTCTTACATTCTGTTAATATTGATGTTGTTTTGTTTTTTTTCTCATTTTCAAAAGTATTATAATTTTATTGATTGAAATTTGTGAAATTCTAATTCGTGTCTGTAATTTTGTGCACTATTATTGCATATATATATATATATATATATATATATATATATATATATATATATATATATTCATTGAAGTTGGTTTATTAATCAGATATAAATAAATGAAATCATGTTCTTATTATTAAACATGTTTTGTTTTATTTGTTTATGTTTTGTGGTGTAGGAGGAGTAGGTTGGAAGAAAGCTAGGGGCGGCCAGACCAAAACATGGCAGAAATGCACATGAAGTCACTCACTGACAAGTGGACTGTATCATGTTGATAGATGTAGACTACCTGGTTAGGGTTCGCAAGATGATAATAATCGATGGTTAGAGACCTTGAATAATGACATGGCTCAAAACCATTTATAATTGCGCAAGTGCAGCCATTCGTTGTGCTCTCTCTAATTCTAACCTTCTGGATTAGTCAGCACCTCTACCTTTGTCTTTCTAACCTTATCTCACTGAATTATACTTGTTGAATAATATCTTCAATCCCTAGTCTTCTTCATTACCATTAATACCTCTATTACTATGGGATTTGATTTGACATTTGCGTCTCTGTGCTAATAATGTGGTATGGCAACATGAACTTATGTACATACGTACGAAGTTCTACGTTGCAACTGACTGAACGACTATTTGTTTATGCTTAATCCTTAGCAAAAATTTTTGTTAAGGGATTAACTCAATTCATTGAATCATGACTGTAACTATTGTACATGAAAAGAAGTTTAATGATAGCTGAAAACTAAAAGTAATGAATTAAGATTAGTGTGTTTAAATGTAGAATACTGATTAACTGATGTAAATTCTTGACTATGTAACTGACTAGTAATGCATATTCGAAATTGGTAACGAAAGAGTTCTGAGACGATGTACGCCTGAGGATGTTGCCCATAGTTTGGCTACAGATTCACAAACACAATCAGAACTTGAGTCAGAATGGCTTCAGTTGTGTTCTGATAGAGATATTCTTCGTTTTGTTATCAAACAGACTAATGAATCTGTTGTTTTACCGTGCAACATTAATCGACTAGTAATGAATGCTCAGAAAATCTTTGAAATAGATCCGCTTTCAAAGACAAATATTCACCCCAGACAAGTCGCCGAAATGGTTTGCAGGCGCCTAATAGTTGTGGCAGGTGATGACCGACTGAGCAAAGAGGCCAATGCAAATGCCACACTTTTGTTAATCTCATTGATTAGAGCATCGCTATGTGCGAAGAAGGTAATCATTGACTACCGCCTCAGTTACGAAGCTTTAGATTGGGTATTAGGTGAAGTCCGTGCCCGTTTCCAACAAGCTCATATCCACGCAGGTGAAATGGTTGGAGCACGAGCAGCTCAATCTCTCGGAGAACCAGCTACTCAAGTGATTTTGAATACTTTCCACTACGCTGGTGTGTCTGCTAAAAACGTCACGCTTGATGTTCCTCGTCTAAAAGAAATAAACGTAAGCAAGCGTCCTAAAACTCCATCTATGACAATTTTCCGTTGTTTGATTTTGCGAATATCTGAAACTTCACTCTTGTAAAACTGTCCATATATATTCAACTGTCTGAATTATTCTCTGTTAGAAACTTATTTCTTGACAAATTTATATATGTGTGTATGCCAAAAGTGACTGATCCTAAACATCATTGAGAACACTTAAATAATCAATATGAAAAATGGAATAAAATTCACTTCCCATCACATATATATATCAATAGTGATCGGAACTTAATAGCTGAATAGATATTGTAATAATATTTTGATCTGTAGATTGATCAGCGTTAGACATTAACACCATTGGATGTTGACCCAGTGGTGCAGAGGCTAGACATTCGCTCACAAGACCGGAGGTCCTGGGTTCGAATCCTGTAAGGTGCAGGAGTCATGGATGTGCACTGCCACTGATGAGTCAGTCCCATATCAGGATGAAACGGCCATCTTTCAGCGCTTCCACGTTTCTAATGTTGCTGGTCTAACAATGATTGATTGATGATTTCAAATGTGTAAAAACACAAACCTCCAAAACTGCCTGAAAATATCGTAACAGTGCCCACCAGTGACTAGCTTCATGAGGAAATTCTCGGAGTTCTAGTTGAGAAGACATGACCAATGGAGTTCAACCCTGTCGGGTGTAGGCAGTAACTACCAAAGACAAATGGGTGAGGTCGTGCAAAATCCCTACATCAATCAGAGTTAGACATTAACAGCGTTGGATGCCGGCCCAGTGGTCCAGAGATTAGATGTTCGCGCACAAGACCAGAGGTCCTGGGTTCGAATCTTGTAAGGTGCAGGAGTCATGAATGTGCACTGCCACTGATGAGTCCCATACAAGGACGAAACAGCCGTCTTTCAGTGCTTCCAGGTTTCTAATCTTGGTGGTCTAACAACGATCGATTGATTGATTAGTGATTTCAGTGTACAACAAACACTAATCTCCATAACTCTAATGGCAAAAACATTAATATGTATTAAAACGAAATTGTATATATAGAACAAACAAATCAATATGAAACAATGTATAACGTGGACATTTTCATCAGTAATATTGACGAAGATTATTGAATTGATAAAATATTATTCTGATATTATATTATAATAATTAATTGAACTTTGGGAAATATAAAAAACGGCAAGATTTTCCCATTTATTCTTCCTATTGTGTATAATGATGAAAATTTGTTACAATACAGACAGACAGATACAACGTAGAACTTCGTACATAAGTACATCAGTTCAGGTTGTCATGCCCCATCAGCACAGAGACGAAACTGTCAGTTCAAATCCAACAGTGATAGCGATAGTAGAATTATTATCAGTAAGGAGCGAAGATTAGAGAGCGAAGGTATGATTCTAAAAGTATAATTCAGTGAGATAAATTTAGAAGGAGAAAGTTAGAGATTATGAGGATTTCAGAAGCTTAGAATTTCATTGAATAATATATATATGTGTATTTATTAAGCTAATTATATGATGATCGAATATTTTCGGCTTTATTTCCTTCTGTTCGACTGATCAAATCATTTATGTTCAATCGGATGACATTGAAATTAGTTTTCCGAAAATGTCTAAAACATATCTAATGAAGGATGTAGCCTATAATTATTAGTTAGTTAGTTAGTTAGTTAGTTGTATTTCTAATCATACAACTAATTCTGTTCAATAAGTGATTATGTAAATTATTCAAATTTCCGTTTAGTTTTATTGATTAATTTAGTAGACGACTAGTTTGATTGAGAACGAACTAACATTGTTTCATTATGAATGCGTATGAAAAAAAGGTCGGAAGTGTTGATTAATTCTAGATTTGTTTTAATCAACATGGTAAAAAAAATTAACTCTTTGAATTCGAAACTCAAAACTTTAAAAAACCTTTTTTCTCTGATTAGATTTAGGTGTTTGAAAAAAGATCTGTTAGTTTCTCAATTAAAAATGCATTGTATAATTATTATTTAGAAAGTTAATTCAAACG